CGACACCGGAGAGGAGGAAGGGTTAGTAGGACGATCAGGCGGGGGGTAGCAAGGTGATCGAGGGGGGTGGTTACGAAGAGGAAAAAGGGCGGGAGGGGGAAATCGCCCTCATTCCCAGGGGACCGATGTGGATCCGCCTATGCCTAGTCCACCAACTTGGTACCACAGAACAGATTGCTGTACTTGTAGCAAGGTTTTTTCATATTTTCAATATTATGGGACACGTTTGTCGGCAATCCTGTTGTCTTATTCCCTCTGAGGAAGTAAACACACGCGGATTAGATTTGTCTAAGTGACGGTGGAAGAGAAAAAATAGTATTTTGCAGAAAATATGCATTTGTTGGCATTTTGCAGAGCTCATCGGTACGACACTATGAATGCCCGATATGCAGTGACACAACAGCCAGTACGTTGTCTCGTCCGGTCGGACTCCTGTCACGAATGGTCGTTAATTATGGTCAGCCAAGTTTCCTTTTACAGATGAAATAGTAGAATAGTTGAGGTACATTACAGCCTCCGATACGGCTTTCATCCAACATTACAGAATAGGCGCCGTGGTACTAGGGATGGATTGTGCCGTCGTAGGTTTAATCTACGATGGGAAAGTTGGCGGAGGAAAAGACGGACTGGGAACGGAAAGTCAGGTCCCTGCTGGAAAACCGATCTCCGGTGGAAACGTCGCTTCCCTACGTTCACAAGGGATGTCATCAAAAGATGACTCAAGTTTTATTTTATTTTTGTGTTTTATAATTCCAATTGGAGGGTAGGGAGGCAAAACGAAGGCTTTGCCTTTACAATGCTATTCTGTTATTTATATTTGTCAGGATGATTCGCCTGACTGTTTGTTAAGCAGATAATTCGAATTGTGATGTCTTTTTGGTTGCACATCGTCTCTGTTTGTCCAGCTGGCACAAGTGTGTGTGTGTGTGTGTGTGTGTGTGTGTGTGTGGAATATATACTTATCTGGTCATCCTTCTGGCTTTGAGTGGCTTTCCGGATCTTAATTCTGAATCTCAAAGTTTTTGAAAAAAGGCCAAAAAATGGAATGTATTTATAGCTATCGGGAATTCAGTGGCTGATCACTGTCCGGATTTAACGCTGGTCGAAATGGGTGCAACAAGAGACTATTGTTCTGTTCTTATGTTGAAAGTTCTGGAGGTATCGCGACGAATGACTTTGGAACGTGTAAGTTCATTGCTCGTTTTTGTTAGTTTATGTTGAATTTGAATACTTATAGTTTTATCTTATGTTGTAACCTAAGAAAATTTCATGTAAAGATATAAATTTTTGCCGTATTTCTAGTACTGATAGGGCACAATTTTGCACCAGGATAAGGCTTATCTTTTTCTAAAATTTTTTTCTTCCTCCTTCGTTTTCCGTTCC